CTTGTCAATATGTGACTACATCTCCAAGATGTGATCACACCTAGACCTTGCCTTGCCAATAGGGCTTGAGTGACCTTAAACTTTTCAAGAACTTGTGGGTAGGGAGAATAATTGGAGGAGGTGAAAGAAGTATGATTCCATGGACATCATCTTCATTTAGGAAAGCTTGTTTCAAGAGATTTGGGAAGATCATAAATGTCTAAACCAGACATGTTTTGGGAGATATTCAAGATAGTTGATCTTAAAGTCCTTAATATGACACCCAATATGAAATATTAAGGCTAGGACCCAACAAACTATTTTATAACTTAGAAGAGGTATGCCGTAATCCAAGCTATAAAACAATTTGAAGGTAGGTGAATGACGATTCACCAATTTCCACCAAGATAAACGAAATGTATTATTAGGTTTTAATTGGTTTTGAAACTCCTAGATCTTTTGAGATTCATTGAACTGTTCAATGGCATGTTTCAATCTCGAGTGTGCCCTTCAGGTTTTGTGACTGGGATGCCGAGGATCACAAAACAAGGTGTGAAGTAACCATGCAAATTACTTGGTACCCTTAAGTGTTTACCCCTCAATCGATGTGCCGGTTAACCACACACGCTCCATCGATACTATGATAAACATTAAGTTACCCTTTGCCTACCTTGTTAAATACGAGTTAGTGTGCCGGTTAACCACACACGCTCCACTAACCGACTTAAACAAAGTGCAAAGTGTAATTTCATGGATTAGCACCTTATTCACATTTTCCTAAGTAACTAAGATTGGGAATTATTAAGAGTTTAGTTACTTAGTATTTATCATTAATACTTTTAATGAAGGGAGAATTATAGTCCTGTCAAACCCGTTCGGCTAACGACCCTCCACCAGTCAAGCAAGCGGTGGGTGAGAGTGGACACCCATTAAGTTGCCATTTTATAGGCAACAACCTTATACCCACCTTATAGACCGGCTTCGTGAATGAGGCGTACTAGCGGTAAGACCGACTTTACTCTTATACTATATACATATATATATATATATATATATATATATATATATATATATATATATATATTAACTTATAATATTATAAAGTATAAGGGTTGAATTTTAACTTTTAAAATTCTAAGGGCTAACTTGGAATTAAAGTATTCATAAGAGAAAACTTTACAAATTCCAAAACTTGAGGGCAAGTTTTGAAACTATTCAAAACTAATTAATTCCATAACTTATGTGTTTAAAGTAGTTTTAATCCAAAAACTCTTCAAGTTCCATACTTATGGAAGACTTTAAACTAATAAAAGAATTAACTTTTCTTTATTTTTAACTTATGGAATTAATTAAGGTTACATTATTTTATTATTTATTTTATTTATTTAATGAAGAGACTCTTGGTCCTCCATAACTTGAGGACAAATTATGGAGTCATAACTCCAATTAATTAGAACTAGACTCTTCATTTTTGTAACCTTTGCCAACTTTTATGAGTTTTATGAGTCTTTAATGTGACTCTTCATGTAACTTGAGGACAAGTTACACAAACACATTTTATACTCAACTCTTAGATTAAAATGGATTGAAAACAACTATTTCATTCAACTTTTCTATTAATCTAAGAAACTCATAAGAACAAGATAATTCAAATCAAACTTTTTCATGTAATTAGTCTAACCTTTAAACTAATACAAAACATGAATCTATTGACAATTATCTTTGAAAATGGATTAGCATGAACATTACCACATTAAAAACAAGTTTATAAGTTCAAAAACAACTTAGGGTAATGTTCCTAGTCCATTTCTAGCCAAAAACCTCGAAAATATGCTGTCTGGGGTCCAACTCGTCGAGTGCATGAACACAACTCGGCGAGTTGGATGCATTTTGCCTTGGACTCGTCGAGTCCCTTCATGGACTCGGCGAGTCTGCTGGGTAGACAGCAACAAAACTCGATTTTTCAGCTTCTATTGCAAGTATAACAAGAAAACAAGCCTAGGCTCTGATACCACTGTTGGGTTATGAGCATTCTAACACTCCTAAGTGTACATGCAACCCTAAATACCTTGGATCTATGTTTTCTCTATTATACATGCAAATATGAACATCCAAGGTATTATCCTAAACTAGCATACACAACTATCAATATAACAAGATAGAATACATACCTCTTTGATGGAGCTTATCTTCATGAAGCTTGAGTGCCTAGTGCCCCAAGTGTGACACCTCAAATGGTTCACACAACACCAAATACACTTGGAATAACTTGAGAGAATTCTACACTTCATGAAATCGGCTAGCCCTCTCTTACTTTCACTAGTGGCCGATTTTGTCAAGAATAATATCTTTATATAGTGTTACAATTAAGGCAAACCCTAATTGTCATGACTTTCCATTTCCTTGGATCCATGGGTTCAAATACACCATGGAGCATCCATGGAGCATCATATGGGTTTTGGCCCAACTAGATAATCCATGGAGCATTAGCCCACTATATAAGTATGGATGATTTGCACAATCAATCCATATATTTAATTAGTCTTCTTTTGATCACTTAATTAATCCTAGACTAATTCTTGATCAATACTAATTAAATAATCTTATTATTCTTATTATTAATATATTAGAACTTATAATATATTAATAACCATAAGTGTCTTATTTCTCTCATTTTAGTCTATCCAAGTGCATGATGCCATGCAACCCAAATGGACCATGCCGGGTCGGGTCAAGTCTTACCAATTATAGTTATGGACTTAGACATTAATCCAACAATTATAACACTAATTAAGTAAGTATAAACACCCTAAATCATGGAAAACACTTTGGTTTAAATGTTAGAAGGCCATTGGGTTGCATCAAAGGGGTGTAAGGCCATGCATTTAAGTTTATGGCCCAAGGACCAAACCCCATGGAGTTTATGGCCTAGGGTTCACGGCCCTAGTGGGTTTACGGCCGTAAACCCATGGCAAACTCCACAAACTTGAAGCTTAAGGTCCCTAGCTCAATGGTGAAAGGTTCTAGTCCAAGTTCTAGGCATTAGGAAAGTGATTAGGACAACTTTGCACCCTTCTATAGAGTTTACGGCCTTGGGAGGTGCCCTGGACGTAAACTCCATTCCATTCAAGATTTCTTGATGTTTCTTAGGTGTAAACAAGTTCATTCTAGTATACTACAAGCTAGTACAAGAGTACTTACAATATAGAAGCTTGTTTGGGTGTTTAAGGTCCAATAAAACTAGTGTGTGTTCTTGGTGTTTTGAAGAACACTTGAAGATCTAGGTAAAAGATAAGATTTCATGGATGAAATGGTGTGCAACAACTAGATGAAAGGTTATAACAACAAATCAAAGGAAGAAACACTTACATTTATGGAAGATTGGAAGAAAAGTGTTATGAAACTTGAGAGAGAATTGTGGGAGTTCTTGAACTTGAAAGTTGGGAAATGGGGAAATGAAGAGTAAACTCTTGCTATATGCATGAGTTCACGACCAAGAGAGGGTTCATGGCCCAAACTCCATTTGTTTGGCCGTGAACACCTAATTAAGGTGTTAGTTGATTTATTGTTACCTCATAATCCTAGAATATACTTACTTTTATTCGTTCGTTTGAAGAATTAATATTAAAAACACTCACACGGACTTTAAACCAGCTAAAAATTAGCAGAAATGAGTTTGACTTTTATTTGAAGTGCTTGACTGTAGGGTTTGTACGAATGGAAATTTCGAGTTGTCACATTATAACATACGCTATGTTTCTTGATCTTGTTGATTGGTTGTAGAATAAATATGAATAGAAAGTGATGAATGGAAAAGATCATTTTCTCGTCGGAGGAAGAATCACTTGGGATTTCAGGAGATTAAGCAACAAAGACACCGATTGGGGAAACAAGTTCTTATTCTTACCAGCTTCCAGGATCATCTAAGTTCTTCTCATAGAATTAATTCCATTTAATTCAGACGATTTCACCATTCTATACCCTACTTACTTCCATCCATCAAAAGATTCTGATGTTTTTACATGGCAAAACCGGATGATGAAACTTAACCGAAAATGGCTGTTTTGTTTAGCCGGAGCTCCACATCCAGGTAACCCGAAATCAATTCGAAGTCTTTTAATCGATCAATGCAAGAATTCGAGCTTTAGGAAGCTTTTAGACTGTGGAAATGGTGGTTTTATTGAAGAACTTAATTGGAATAATGTGTTGTTAGAAGAAGAATAAGATAAGGAGATTGTAGGTGCTCATGAATGGGATCCTTTTTTCTCTAACCCAAAACAACAAACTTGATCATAGTTGCACAGAGATATAAATTAGGTTATACTTCTTCTCTTGAAGAACTATGATTCTTGATTACTAGTTGTTGATTTTTTGAAATGACGAACATGAACTCAAACATGAATTGGAATGATGGGTTTTTGATTTTTAGAATGGAGAGAGAGAGAGAGAGAGAGAGAGAGAGATTTAATATTAAATAATATTTTTTTTTTAAATAAGGGCAAAACTTCAAAAATAGTCCCTGTAATAGTGAAAAGACAGAAATATCCTTCACTTAACGGTTAAAAGCTAAAGGAGTTAGCGAAAATGACAATTTGTTAAAAGTTTTGAAACCACAAGGACCATCTGTGAGCTTTTTTGAACTTAAGGACTAAACTTGATATTTTCAGAAACCACAGAGATTATTTTTGAAGTTTTGTCATATAAGTATATGTTTCAATGAATTATATATATAAAAAAAAAACTAAAACATATTACCCACAATAACACATAAAAAACCAACATGAATTATTATATTCTGTAATTTGCCTTAAAAACAAAAGACTCCAACCTTTATAAGCACATGATGTATTCCTCTTTTTCTCACAATTCCACCATCACTTTTCCATTGTTGGTAGTTGAGTTCTCTTTTGTTCTCATTAGTGAATCAGAAAGCTACAGCTTCCATTCATCTCTCTTTACCAAATCATCAAAATCCCTTAATTACAACCGTACTTTCTGTTCTCAAACCAAAATTGTGTGGTTTAAAGTCCACATTCTTGTCCATTTTTACCATTTAAACCCAACCCAAAAACAGTAAAAACAGAGCACACTCTGTTTTCACTATATACAAAAAAAAAAAAAAAAAACTAAGAAAATGGGGAGGCTTTCGGCAACCATAATTGTACTTGAATCGTTTACAGGTAGTGGAGGTGACATTATTGCGCATATTATCGAGATATGGGGCCAATTCAGAGTGCCAGTTTTGGTGCCATTGTTGACATTATTGTTGTACGTTTCTTTGGGAATGTCAATAATGTTGTTCATTGAAAAGGTTTATATGTCTTCCGTGGTTGGATTCAATTATTTGTTTGGTAGAAAGACAGAAAAATGTTACAAATGGGAAGAATTTAAAAATGATGTTGAATCGGGGAACTCTGTTTATCCTCTTGTTCTTATTCAAGTTCCAATGTTCAATGAACGAGAGGTATGTTTTAATCATTGCTCTGTTTTTGTTTTGTATTTTTCTTTTTAAATTTCGGTTTTTTATTCATTTTTTTTTTTTAATTTGTAAACAGGTTTATCAGCTTTCAATTGGAGCTGCATGTGGGCTTTCATGGCCTTCTGATCGTATTGTAATTCAAGTTCTTGATGATTCAACAGATCCTGTCGTTAAGGTTGATAATTCTATACAAACCCATTTTCCATAACAAGCAAAAAATAATTTTTTTTGTTAATTTGTAGTATGAAGTAGTTGAGGACACAAAAATAAAAAAATAAAATTACGTGGTTTAAAGAGGCACATGCAAAATAAAATCTAATTTTCCTTTTTTTTTTTCTTCTTTTGTTAGTTTGTAGTATGAAATAGAGAAAAACATAAAAATGATAAAAGAAAAATTACGTGTTTTAAAGAGCTACATGCAAAATAAATATAATTTTCAATTTCCTTTTCAAGGACCATCTCAGTGGTCCTGATGTTAGCCATAACGAAATAAAATAATGACTCATTAGCGGTTGTAGAAAACGTGACGTTAATAATTAAAAATAAAAATAAAATGGTGTCTTAATTATGCCCAAGAGGTTATTATAAAAAGTGTTTATAGCTCATTAGCTTGAATGACTACCATGTTTAATAAAAATATAAATTAGTCATAAGTTTATTATTAACAATTGTAATACACGTTTGTTGTTAATATAAAACCATACTTAGATATTGGTTTTTGTTCAACTTAATTATTTTTCGTTATCATTTCAAATATGTGATTAGGACATGGTAGAAGTGGAGTGTCATAAATGGGCAAGCAAAGGTACGAACATACATTACCAAGTAAGGGACAATAGAAAGGGTTACAAAGCAGGTGCACTTAAAGAAGGTCTAAAACATGGTTATGCTAATGAATGCGAGTATGTGGTAATCTTTGATGCTGATTTTCAGCCTGAATCTGACTTTCTTCGGAAAACAATTCCATTTCTTCATCATAACTCTGAAATCGGACTTGTTCAAGCTCGTTGGAAGTTTGGTAAATGTTTCTTGAAACTTGTTGATTTTTTATCTTATTTTTTTCTCATTTACCTACAAAAGGGATAAAATTTTGCATGTATTGGTGATTAGTGATTCTTTTTATTAATACCTTAAGAGTTTAACTCGTAAATTAACGGTTATACAAGGTTTATAAAATTCTTATTGACATAAATTAACACAATTTATATCGATGTTGAAGACAAACAAAAAATAAATTGCAATATCTACTCTAATAAATTAATGTTTTTTTTATCACATGTCATATTCTCATTCAATTTCTCAAATATCATTTTATGGTTATTTTAAATTAATTTTTTCATATGTCATTTTATGAGTTTTTCTGATTTAATAAATTTCACATAATACTTTAATGTAATAATTATAATAAATATAGTAATAAATAAATATTAAATTATTTTAAAAGAGTTATATTTTTATTTCAAAATAACCAAATTAAAACTCATTAGTTTATTTTATTTTATTTATTTAAATTTATAAGATAAAAAATCAATTTTAATGATTTATTAATTTTTTTTTCTTATAAATCCAAAGTTTTTAATTATTTAGACATATAAATTTAATTTTTTTAGTTAACCGACATAATACATGGTTCTTACATCTGGTTAAAAGTAAATAAACGTTTCGATGTTCTGAATTTGGATTCCCATTGATCTTGCGATCATCAATATTTCTATTTTTAAATACTTATGTATGTGTTTTTATATAAACCAAAAAATACATAGCAGTTAGTCTACCTTTTAAATCATGTATGAATACAACCCTAATCGATATAGTATTTACTCAAGTTTAAATTTATTAAACTTTAATATTTACTACTATAAATTTTCTAAAGATATGGAAAACCTTATTTATTTTTAAAAATTTATTTTTAAAAATATGTTTTTTACTTAATCTCGAATACTTATTTTAATATTTCGGATATAAAAAAATAATTTATAGAAAATCTCCTTTGAGAATCTCCTCGGAATCTCCTTCTGATACAGACAGTGAAGAGGAATCCCACCTTTAGTGCCGATTGTATTTATTTTTCCTTGGGTCGTTAGATCTTGCAATGTTTGTTTTTATAAGTAGTTCCCACGTGTTGTATTAACATTAACTATTTAGGAAATTACGATAATAAAAATAAAAATTACATAATACATAGATCTTTATATTATTAGATTTATTTATTATTTAATTTATTTATTTATTTACAACTTTGACGTACAAAAATCTTGTTAGACATCTTGTAGTAATTGTTTGTTTTGTTTTTTCAATAAACTTGGCTAATGTTTTAATTATATTTGTTTTTAAGATATTCCGACTCTTGAAAAAAGAGTTACAAAACCGATCAAACTAAATTTTATATTTGGTTGAATTGGATCAGATATGAATTTAGTTAAACTATTCGGATTTATGTATTTAAAACCAAAATCCAATTTTATTCATTTGATTGGATCAAATCGAACCAAACCTATCCATCTAAACAAACAACTCTTTCATATATCTTAAAGTATCATCCTCAACTCGATGATGTATTAAGGTTATGTAGAGTGGAGCTCGACAAAGTTGAGTCAGCTCAACAAACATCGTACCCTCAACTCGGCATGTCGAGCTCAGTGTAACTCGATATGTTCTACGATGTATATCTTCTCACTAACCTATACATCTGCTTGTCTTCCTCTTCCTCCTCCCCTTCCTCTTCTTATTCATTTTCTTCTATTTCCACTGTTTGGCATCATGTTCCGTAAAATGAGATAAAGGTGGAGAAGGCTGAGATGGAACTCAATTGTATCGACACCACTCCTTTCGACCTAATAAGATCGCAAACATAATCATTTTTAGATATCTAAAGATATGTTTGTATATAATAGAAATTTGTATCTCAGTTAGTATAAATATTCTTTGAGGTATAAGTTTAAGAACATTATCAAGTATTAATGAAATTTCATCTTATTATAATTTTATATTTATATTCGTAGTAATTTATTAATATTATATACAAAAGAAAAGAGAGCAGGGAAAATAAACATTTGATTCAAGCTAAACTAAAGGAATCGATGATTTCTTTATAGCCTCAATAGTCGCATCATAATTCACATAATTGAAACTGAAATTGAGGATCTCTTGGTTGTTACGATGTTACAGTTAACTAATCCCCAATAATCGATCACCGGTTCTTTGATTTTCATAATTCTTCTATTCTCTTTCTAAAATCTCGATTTCGATCATTCTCCAACTTCTCTTGAAGACTCATCTTCACACCTAAAGTGAGGTTTCTTTGATTCGTTTCTCGAGCTTCAACTAAAACTTGTAAGGTTGCAACTTCTTTTTCGTAGATTTTAAATAAATATTTAAATAAATATTATCAAGATGGATATGAACTAAAGGTAAAAAGATATTGATTTCTCTACCTAAAATACATTTCAATAAAAATTAAAAATCAAACATATCAACAACTTTAAATAAACATTATTGAAGTAAATGCGGTTTTATAAGAAGTGCGATAAATAAAAGTTATGTAAAAAATTGCCTAAAAAGAAATATTAATTATTTTCTAAATATTTAAACTTTTCACGGATTAAATAATTTATGATTTTCTTGTCGCTTTTTAAATTTTCATATCAAATACAATGACCTAAAGACTTTGTTAACCAAATGTCGTATCTCCGAGGATATTAGTAGAGTGTTTACCAGCTGTCCTTTAACAATGAGGGTTCTATTTGTTTGTGAAAGATATGAAGTTTTTTCCTCTAAAACAACAAAAAATAAAATGAAGATGATAAATGAAATGAAATACAAGAAATATGATTCGAAATGACAAATCAGCCCTAACGCTATTTGGATTTGCATAGGCAACCCACTCGTAAATCTTTGTCGAAGATTTGTAATATGGGGTCTTGGAACATGCCATTGTGGCATGGACCATTTCATACGCTTGAAGTGATTCCATCAATTTTTTGGAAACCCTTGGTTTTGAATAATATTTTCCATTTTACATTTTTTTTAATAAATAAGAAATCTGGTTATGTTTTTAATAAGTTATTTACTTAAAATTAAATAACCACTAAGTTTAAACCCGTTCCAGAAAGTGAACCATAGAGACAACCATTCATGGTTCATCTTTTAAAAGTACCTAAAAATTTTACAGACTTTATTAATATAATATTAAATATGATTGATTTGAAGATATTATTAATGGTTCTGCATTTCAAAAAGCTGAAAGAAGTATTTTTCTTTAGATATATAGGTTTTTATAATCAAAAATTTTATATTTAAAAGCTAGTATATGTAAATTTTTTTTTCAAGTATTAAGTTAATACAAAAACAGTTGATGAAATTTATGTATTTTAAAGATTGTTTCTCTTTACTTCTCAACCAAAAATATGTTTGAAAAAGCTGTAACTAAGTTCCAAATAGTGATTCCATTAATTATTTTGAAACCATTACTATGATAGAACGGAATATCTAAAGTTTGAAATAAACAAGAATAATATAACATTGTAATACATTGATCATTGTATATCATTGTAGTATTGGTTGGGTAAAAAATAGAATTCATTATTTAAAAATGTTGTTTATTTTTCAATAATTGTAAAATTAAGTAGGGTAAAATTAATAAATTAAAGAAGAAACAATGTTATTTAATAGAATTAAATTTTAACTAAATAAAACATGTATCTACCAAATTTTAGTTAGTTAAAAGTACATGTAATATACTTTACAAATAGTTATAAAAAAATTAAATAATAATAATAATAATAATAATAATAATAATAATAATAATAAAACTTATCTATTATCTATAATAATAAAAAATTATACGAAAACTACTAGATATAATAAAATCTTGAAATATATTATAATATTTTTTATTTATCTAAAAAAAACATAAAAAAAGCATTTATTTATAGGTTAAATAAACAACTAAATAGGTAAAAACTTATTTACAAACTTCTAAATTTTTTATAAGTAGTAATGATAAATTTTCAAAATATAAATATTCATGTCACCTTATAGTATGTATACTTGAGGTGTCCAAAAGATTCTTGTACTCGAGGCCATTGCATTCCTCTCAACATGGATTATTAACATGTGGTCGTGTGTCCGAGGAATAGTGTATTTGAAATGAAATATCTCACGATTTGGTTGGCAACTTAACATTATTTGATCTATATAAAATAGGAAGTGATTATACATAATAAAATTTGTATACAATAACCAAAAAAATTATGCATTAAAATTTTGTAAATACAACATTTTAATACACAAATTATTGTGTATGATTTTTTTTTTTTTTATTGTGTACGGATCAGTTACTAATCCACCAAAAGCTCAATGTCAATAATTCTATAATTTTTATTTTAGGTCGGGAAGAGGAAATAAATTCCTTTCATTTTTATTAAAAAGAAAAATGATCTCCCCTACCGTGTTTAATTATACCATGAATATTTATATAATAATTAAAATATTATTATAAATATTTTTTTAATACAATGTTATAATTATAGTCAATTATTAGTATTATCAACTAAATATTTTTTTTTTTTTATGTATTTTAACATTCTATTTTCATGTATTTTTTATAGCAATATTATATATTCTTTTAGTAAGCATCATATTTTGAAAATTCTATACATTTATTATATTTATACGTTTGTTATTTTTTTTTTATAATACTTTGAATAAAAACTCCCAAATTATATTTGCACTAACTGTTTACATTTGAATGATATTAAATAGATTATTTTAGGAAAAAAAAAAAGCACTAGTAATTAGACACTAGCTAGTAATTAAGAAAAGATTACAAAAAAGGTTTTTAAGGTTTTTCATTTTATATGAATAAGGTCTTTATTATTTTAATATTACAATTTTTTGTCATGTTTCGTTGTGATTTTGGTTCTTTCAAAACTAAAATGATTATCGACATTAAACATACAAACCTAAACATCAGTCATAACGGCTACTAATAGGAAGAATCTACATCCTCTTATGATTGAGGAGGTGAAACACATAATGAGAATGTTTGGAGGCGTAAGGGTTGAGAATTACTACTACCTCAATAATGATTCTTTTTCTAATCTTGAAATCATTTCATACTTTCAACAAGAAAATACTTATATTGATTATAGAAAAGTCCAAATTCAACACACAAACACACCCATCTAGGAAATGTCCTTGAACACACACCACTATAACCCTCTTTTGAACATAATGAAAAATTGAAAACACAAACCGTTTATGAGTTTTTGATTTCTACAAAACATTTGAGTATGTATACATGTTTAAGACCATATTAAAATTCGAATTTGCCAATCTTGAAGATCAATTGATTTATGGAAAAATGATTAACAAAACACTCACATTGATTAATTTTCACATATACTTAAGAACACACGTGATTTTAGAATTCAAACACTAGTGTTTGTGTTCTTGATCAAGAAAGTAGAGAATGGAAGAGACTTTTAGGATTATAGAAACACCTTCATGTGTCATCATGTACGTATCGGACGATGTACATGGTGGCTCAGGTGGTGGCCATCTACATCAACTCCACACTAGAGAGTGAACATGCTTTCAGTGAAGGTCTAAAGAAATGTGATTTTAGATTTTTTATGATATCGTATAAAAAAAGAGGATAGGGAGGGTGGGGGTGGAAATATATTTTATATTTTAATATTATTAAATTTTTAATAAATATTAAAGAAATTAAAACAAATAGCTGTTAAGAATAAAATGGTCATGTTAATTTCGTCAATAACCAAATCCACAACAAAAGCTAATAGAAATGATGAAATTTGCAATTTTGAAACAATTAGGACCCTAACACAAACCATAAACCGGTTTTAAAAATTTGCCACTAGTTAAAAGTTGATATAAAAAAAAACTCTGTATATTAGACAAATCAAGTAGATGATCATCATTTGTTATATTTATCCCTAAAAACAATATCAACCTTATTATATGATATATTATGATATGTCAAGAAAAACATAAGTTACAAATAACAGATACCCAAATTCATTTTCATATATACCTTATTATAACATTCTATTACTAATAACAATACGAACTTATATATTTCATGAGTCATAAATTCATACTGTATATATATTTGTTATTTTTATTTCCATACATTTGCATTTCAAATATTTTATCACTTTCAGTTCCTTAATTTTCAAATTCCTATAATGATGTTAAGAATTATGAAGACTTATTATTTCTAAAGTCCACTAAACATTTTGATTAGTAACTATATATTTTGTCTAGGGTTCGTTTGGTGGAAACACTAGTGATAACGTTAAACTTTAACATGTGATCACTAGATGGATGCAAGAGTTTGTAACTAACTATTCCGTTCGTTCATTATTCGTATGAACAAAATCTTTTGAAGGTTCTTTTTTTCCTTAATTAACATGCTGTAATATGGTTAACATCTTCTAACATATAGTTAATTTTTTTTTAATTAACGTGTTGTAATATATAGTTATACTTCAGAACATTAACGACAAAAGAAAAATTAATTACCCTTGGATAGAAAAATATAACGGTTAAAGTTTTATAGCTTACGCAAGTCATAATAGATAAAAGAAAGTAATACAAATAATACTCCATAAACTAACATGTTTATGGTGTGATGATATTAATGCAGCAAACTCAGATGAATGCTTAATGACAAGGATGCAAGAGATGTCACTTAACTACCACTTCAAAGTTGAACAAGAATTTGGTTCATCTACTCATGCATTCTTTGGCTTCAATGGTAATCAAAATGGTATTTTAGGGTTTTAAATCACCATCTTTGTATAGTTATAAAACCATGTGTGAACTTCTATATTTTTGTAGGGACTGCTGGAGTTTGGCGAATGGCTGCGATTAATGAGGCTGGGGGATGGAAGGATCGTACCACAGTGGAAGATATGGATCTAGCAGTTAGAGCTAGTCTTAAAGGTTGGAAGTTCTTGTACCTTGGTTCAATAAAGGTAAAGAAAGATCCAACATCTAATAAAATTTCTTCATAAAAATAACCTCACTTGACATCGTTATGTTTTATATAGGTCAAGAACGAATTGCCAAGTGTATTCAAAGCCTATCGATTCCAACAACATCGATGGTCTTGTGGTCCAGCAAACCTTTTCAGGAAAATGATTTATGAGATCATGATGAATAAGGTAAGATCATTATATCGTTTTCCTTAAGTTTCAAGACTCTATATGAATCTTTTACTTTTTAATCTAGAAAGTTGCATTGTGGAAAAAGCTACATGTGATATACAGTTTCTTCTTTGTAAGAAAGATTGTAGCTCATATTGGTACGTTCATGTTATATTGTGTTGTAATCCCTGCAAGTGTGTGGATACCAGAAGTCGAGGTTCCAATATGGGCTACTGTTTACATCCCTACAGTTATCACCATTCTCAATGCTGTGGCAACTCCAAGGTTTTTGTTATCTAATTCATAGTCTCTTTGCTAGGAAATAAAAGTTTGTTCTTACTCTCATTTTCATTTTCACTTTGTAGGTCATTTTATTTGGTTGTATTTTGGGTTGTCTTTGAGAATGTAATGGCCCTCCATAGAACTAAGGCTACATTTATTGGGCTTTTTGAGACTCAAAGAGTAAACGAATGGGTTGTTACTGAAAAACATGGAGATGCTTCCAAGGCTAAAAGTGCAATCACACACCAACGAAGACTTGGATTGAAACTAAGCGATAGGTACAGATTCTTAAGAACATTATACTTAATATAGACAATTAAAGTAAAGAAGATTATATGTGTTAAAATCCAAGAGTGTATGATTTTGTTCCGACTCGAAAGGAGGCTAAGGAAGAGAGAAAAACTATATCTATGAGACAATTATTTACTTAAACTAAGTTATAACAAAATCTCTAAAGATTACCATACTTATATAAATATACATAAATATCTGACAAAATATATATTTTAAATATTCATATAGGTTTCTTGTGCTAGAGTTTTGCATGGGCATTATTCTATTCATCTCCGGTTGCTATGATCTTGCATATGGAAAGTATTACTACTACATTTACTTGTATCTACAAGCTATAGCTTTTGTTGTAACGGGTTTGGGTTATGTTGGCACCCACATTCCCAACTCTTAAATAATGTTCTATATCAACTTGTTCGATCAACTATCATTCTATCTTTGTGCCTAAATCCTTATGTAATTTTCTACACCATTCAATGTTGTTTGAGAAAAATAAAACTTTCTTTTACTTTGTACAATTGTTACCTTTGCATGTAAACAAATGATAGTTCCCCACACAAAAAAGTACACAAGGACAACAAAAATACGCAAATGTTGAGCGTGGCTTCATAAATGATTATAAGGTAGATATGTTAATTTGTAATTATAGGATTATTGGATTATATAGATTGTGTTTTGAATATTTTATTCATGTTTCATTGTATATGTAATCTTTTTTGTTATAAGTAATTATGTAAATTAAAGGTTGCTTATAATTTTGGTTCATATAAGTATATCTTTACCTTAATATGTAACAGTCTAGAAATCCAAATAAAATTTTCATTTTTAAAGAAGAAATTTCATTCATAATTTGTTTTAAAAGAAATCCATTGCATCAAGTCATGACAAAAGATTAGAGTGTCCATAACAATGAATGCGAAACATGTTGGAGAATGAATGTTGTGCTATTAAGCCGGACCCTTCCCCTTATTACCGGAAGTACTTGAAAACATCCAAATAAAATGTAAACAAAAGCTTATTGAGTTTCCCAATATAACATATACAAACCATATAAATGCGCCCAACCCTAGGGTTCATCCCAACCCAAAACAAGTATGGGCCCCGCCCTGGGGTTTATCTCAACCTGATATGTCATACTGTGCCCCACCCTGGGGTATACTTCAACCCAATCACAACAAGTAACGTACAACAACTAGCATAGCGCACAAATGGATATTGGGCCCACCTTGGTGCCTTAGACCTGTTGTCATAGTGAGAAGACTCACCTCAGACTACTGATAAAAATACTACCTGGCTATTGGTCCAGAAATCTCACACTACAGATACACAAGTTATTCTAATTAGAATTAAATCACAAATCCAAGACCTATGCCTAAAAACCTAAGTCTAATCTCCTTCAATAAGGCCCGAAAGTCTTTTCTTCCTTAATGGACCTACCATCTAAGGTCCAAAACAATAATGGGCCACAAGGCCAAAAGGCACAACCATGTAACCTATGGTCCACTAATAAATTCCAAGTCCCTATTATTGTAATAGGTCCATGCCCAAGGTTAATTATGGCCCAAATGGCTCAAAAGACCAACGGAAGCCCAAAGTCCATAGGAAGTGCATGCCCAATGTACATCATCGGTATGCTTAGCTTACTAAGCTCTTGGGCAGTATGTGCGTCGTACAAACTAGTACGTTCAGCGTACAAGCTGATTATGCACAAAAGCTAAAAAGTGCTTAATCTGTGAAGACACTTCGTCCAAATCCAGATCATGGTCATTTCTAAGGTCGGTGTCACAACTAGCAATTTAGTCAGGAAGTTCTCTGATCATGTAAACATCATCTATGAAAATACTTGTAGCTCTAACTTGATATTACGCACTATATTCATTCTATGACAATACAATTAATCAAGATTTACAATTGAAATTCAAAACTCTATGCAAAACATTTCTGAAAAGTCAATTGGGGGTTGAAATACCTAAAAATCCTGGTTCAAGTTCTATATAGACTAGGATTTTCTTATTGGGCCTAATGGACCAATAAGCATTCAATTCGACTGTATTGGGCTTAGAAACCCTATTTGGATTCTAAATGAACCCAATTCATAAATCTATAACATTTCGAATCATTTGGCCCTAGAATGATTCATATAAACCCTAATTGGCCTTAATGAGCCATAAACTCCATCTTTGTACTCAAATGGGTCGTGGACCATCCTAAGGGACCAATGGGCCAAAAAATAAAATTAGGCCTTTGAAATTCAATCAAAGCCAAGGATTCGAGCCCAAAGCTAATTCAACTTCATTCATTGAGCCTATTCTCGGCCCAAGGGGTTTATAAAAAAAAAATTGCATGGAGTTAAATGGTGCCACTCAAGTTTACACTGTGGTTCTCCATGCTAATTAACCACTATACAAAATAAGAGTTCACATACACTTAAGCACCCATCTTATCATCACCTCCTCCCCCCCTCTCTCTTTATTACCTTAGGCCGAGAGGCAAGCCACACACACACACACACACACAATATCAAACCCTCTCTAATACACTTTCAAGAACACTTCTCCCCTTCCATCAAGAATTTTCAAGACTTAGAGTGTTCCTAAGAGTTTTTTCGTCAAAAACAACTTCAAGATACATTCTTGTGGTAAGAACTTGTAAACTTGAGTTGATATAATCCACATTTAGCTAACTCACTCATTATAAACACCTACTCTCATGATTTTCTTCCTAGCACTTATCTAAGTTTGAAAGTCCACTCAAGGAGCTGGCTAGAGCCTAAAATCACATCATATTCTTCCATTTCTTCTTCAAAACAAAAACATGAAAGCAAAGGTGAGTTCATACCCCCTTGTTTTCGGTTTTTACATGTTTTTAGGGGGGGATACAAGTGTTTATGTGTAGATCTATATATTTATGCATGTTATGTATGAATTTCTTGGTTTATGTTGTGTTTGTATGATAAAGCTCGATGGATCCTTAAATCTTTAACAGAAATATGTGAGATTCAGAAACTAAAACACTCTAGTCACCATACTACAAAGTTAAAAGTGTTATACATGCCTAAGTTGTGAAAAACAAAATACAAATCTTGTATAAGGGTCATTTTTGACAAATAAACAAAAGATTGGGACAAAAGTGACACCTACGGTTTTATAAGGACCAAAAGGGTCACATTCACTTAAAAATTAGTTTTTATAACAATCATATTTTCCAAAGGGCCAAAAGTGTAAAATTTTGCATTATGGGCCTTAATGTGGACCTTACGACTTTTTGGGTCCAAATTGCAAAAATAACAATCTTTATGGATCAAAATGTATGAAATAAAAACTTGAGCGAAAAATGGAAACCCACGAGATTAGGGGTTGAAAATGACATATATTTCAAGATTTGGGCCAAAAATGTTAATTTTATAAAATCCGGGCCGGAAATGTCATTTTATTAATATAAGGGCTAAAAATGTAATTTTCAAAAATGGGCCGAAAATGTCAATATATGTATTTTTGGGCCAAATTCGTAAATTACTAAACATTTGGGGTGAAAATACAAATTTTTATAAATTAATGGGAAAAAATATTATTTTTAATTAAAATAGACCAAAAATGACATTTTATGTAAAAATAAGCCTTTAAATGTTCAATTTAGTTCTTAAGGGACCTAAAGTGAAATTATTCTTAAACACGAGTTCAAATTATAGAATTTTAACATAACAAACTAAAAATATAATTATAACAAAACACTGGATTCTTTTATAACATTATGGATAAATTTTCCGACTAAGTGAGCTATACTATAACAAATGAACGAAATACAACAGCGGTACAAATATTGGGCCTAATACTTCCTATACATGCTTATTGGGCCTTCTTAATCTGTTTGCATGTCTAATGGGCCCAATATATTTATTTCATGTCTATTGGGCCTTAGTGACCCAATTACATGCTCAATGGGCCTAAATTAGTTTTACATGTTATTAGGCCTTAGTGGCCCATTCACATGCTAATTTAGCCCGAAGAGATTCATCATATGCATAATGGGCTTCAACGTGTCCATTTGCATACTATCAACCCTAGAAATAACCAACATGTCTAATGGGCCACAACTGTCCCTTTTCATGTTTGTTGGCCCGTGTCTTTTCACATTCAGGTATCATCAGGTATTTGTAAATCAAAATACATTTAACATTAAACATATTCATGTGACAATCATTGGGATCTAGTGAGAATTGTTGGCTGACACCATTGAGTGTTTGGCCATAGCTTGTAGTTATAATCAGAGTCTCCTGGAGGGAGAGCGAGAGTTTGTGTATAGATCTATACATGGGTGACTCCCCCACACCTGAGCTGTTCGCTATAGTTAGACTAGGGCCAGTCTAGGGTGACAAAATCTTGATCAAAACCGGTGTTTGGAAAATTGCCAAGACAGACGAATTAGTCATTATCATGCATGGTTATAATGACTCACGTAGAGATCTATTACCATCGATACAATATGGGAATCAAAGTGCTTAAATCATGATAATATGAAAACAATTTATGCTATAATACGTGTTGGGTGCAAAGTTCTTCATGTATGACTTTGTAGATGGTTTGACTTTTGTAGACCCAATTGCATGTGGTGCATTAGCCTTATGACTAATGAGTATTAGAGAGTGAGAGAGAGAGACATGTAAACACCTCTATATAAGATGGGTTCATACCACTTGTAGAGGTGCGCTTGAGAGATGCAGTCATAGTGATTAGTGAGTGACATATTTACGAAGGTCTAGATTAGATTCCTTTTTGTACTCATTTACTATGATCGAATATATCTTTTAGCACCCAAATCACCATGTTCATTGTGCAAACTTTAATTTTGCATGCCAAACCATGTTCTTATTTCACTACAATTGGTATCAGAGCGGGTCTTTAAGATCAAGGTGATTTTTGAAGAACGATTCTCGGTTTGGCAACTTTTGTCATAATTGAAGCATTTTTGGCGAGTCTCTCTCTATGATCTCTCTTAATTTCATCGAATCGTGCGTTGCGTTTTTGACTTTTGATCGTTTGACTCATTGGATCAAATTTTTCTTGAAAAACCCCATTGATGATCCAATAATTTATTTTTAAGATCAAATTCAATCTAAAACAAAAATCAAGGATCAGTTACTGTTCATGTCCAAGTTTTGAAGCCCAAAATTAATATTCTTTTACTATTCATCATTTCATTGAGCCCAAAAATCAAAACTCGATTACTGGTCAAGATCCGTTCCAAGCCCACTTTCTTAATATAGTCAATCTGATTTATCAAAATCTAATCCATCAGATTCTTTCTAATCGTGATATGTGTTGATGTTCTTCATGAAATTCAACTGTTCAATTGTTTTTTCTTTGAATTTGAATAAATTCGTGCATATGAATTTCATGTATCTTTTGATTACCGAGAACAATAACTTGATTTTCACATTTGAATCACATATCGTGTTCTTCATCTGATCAATTTGATCTTTAGATTCTCTTATTCATGTAAATCCAATCGATTTCTTGATCTTGTATGTTCGAATCTTATTTTTGATCATCGATTTGAAGATTTTATGAAATTTGGTTGAAGGGTTGATAAAGAATATTCAAGAACAGATGAATAATCATGTCAAACTAAAAAGTCAACATCCGTGATCTTTGATGTTGAACATTTA